CTGGGATTTCTGAGTAGGTGCCTCACAGCTCTTTGCACTTAAGGTGTAGAGAAGCCTTTTGACAACCATTTTTATGTGTTTGCGGTGGCTGGAAACTATAATGAAGAGAAGAAAATCACTGACTTGAAGAAGAATCATATAAGGTGATTTTTTTCAAAGCAGTGACGAAACAACAGGTGAGTCAGTAATCTTTGTGCCCAGCCCAGATTGCACTGCCACTAAATCTGCGCTGCCACAAGCAGCATAGCATACCTGCTCAGGAACCCTCAACACACTTTTGTAAACTATAATGTAGTTTAGGCTAGACCTGGAATGTTCTAAGTGTATTTTTTTAAAAGCCGGTTGAATTACTGATTAAATAATCAGCATGAACTGAAGTGGCAAGAGTCATAATGCTGGAAAAGAAATCCTAGCATTGATAGAATAATTTGTAAAACAAGCAAACAAACAAAAACAAAAAATACCCAAGAGAAGGTGTTATGGAACCGAACTGGAATTCGCTCTCCTGGCACAATAAGGCCAAACATCCACACTGAGATTTGCAGCAGAAGAAAGGAGGACATCGTTTTGCAGAGTGCCAAGCAAGGAGGATCAGGCAGTTCTTGCTTAAATCCTGACTTCTCTTATGGTTTGCAGTCAAGGGTTTTTTAAAGGCAGGGGTACATTTCAGGAAAGCAGATGTTACAGGCAAAATTGTAAATCAATACATGGAGTTTACACATTGGTTTGGCTTAAAAAGGCAGGATATCTTGATGTGGGGGCTTACCCATCACAGATTGAAAGATATTCTGATTTGTAATTGGTTAAGGAAAAGGTGTGTTTAAAAATTCTGGGGTCAGCAGAAAAGAATGTCAGCCCTGACTCATGAGTGGACTTTCTCCAAGCACCTCAGGAAAAAATTTAGACCATATAGAATGGCAGCCAGAGTTCAGTCCTCAGTTCCCCCTTATTGGAGGTCTATGTGCAGGCAGACCTGTTTGGTGGGGTCTGTGTTTCTGAAAAACAATTCAGGGACATATGTTATCTCTAGTCCTGTAGGGGAACCAAACATCCTGTGATTCTAATTTCCTTGGCTATTGCCTTAAGCTACTCTCACCTTCTTGCTCATCAAGTTGTTTATTTACTTTTCAGGGCTAGCTAGCTGTCTGAAACTTCCCTTGCAGGAACTCAGAATTTTCCCTTATTTCCATACTTGGAGGCCCTAAGAGGGGTCCCTGTTCTGTCTCAAAGAAATGTGGTAGAGTGGAAAGAGCAAGGGAACTGAGCAAGAAGCCCTGAATTCTGATCCTGGCTTTGCCTGGATCCTATTTGACTCTATCATATTATCTTGGGCAAGTAATAAACTCTCTGAGCCTCAGTTTTATGATTCAAGAGATGAACTAGTCTAAGCCCTCATTGTTTACATTCTAGCTGCAGATACATTCCAGATGTTTATCTTAATAATTTGTAATTTAAAAGAACCTATTTATGTCATGTCTACAAATATTAAAAAAATCCCATTTATGATTACCCATTTTATATTTTACATGATTATCTCCAGTATCATTGTATAATTTTACCAAACATTTCATTATAAATCTTACATACATTGTCAGAAAAATAGTCTCCTTAGTTTCTGAAACTACTTACAGTGTCTTGCTCAAATCATGTATACCTCTCCTTTGTTCTTTGGCATTTTGTCAAAACAATTTAGTGGTAATGAATCAGTACAAGAACAAAAGTCCTAGAAACAAAAATATTGTATTAACTACGGAAAAAGTTTCTGCCTTTTCCAGTAAACATACAAAATAATGGCACTCCTTAGCATATGTAAATATGTACTATTGCCTTCTGATTAAATAGTTTTCAGCAAACTATTGCTGTTATGGTCCAATTCCTGAAGCTTTTTTTCTTGTTTTATTTTACAATGTTAGGGTGTGACTATCTCTTCCTATGGTACTTCATGACTTAAAAGTGGAATAGACCATTTATATTCACAGACGTATATCGTCTCCTTTCCATATATGAAGTACATACACTATAGTGTATGGTTTTGGAAAATTTGGAAGAACTGCGACTAAGAGGTTGAGTTTTCATAGAACAGACCCTGACCCTGATTAGAAAAACTAACCAGCCAGTAGTTTACTGTTGAGACTTAACAAGATATTGAGGGTTTGTGGGCACTCCATGGACACGTGTTTTACAGAAGTTGCCATGAGTGCTGATGAAACTTTTAGTCATGTGTCCTTTATCTTAAGCATTTGACTCTCCTAATGAAATAATTGAAAATAAAATATTAGCAGCAACATATGCTTTCCCACATACCTTACTAAAGTCCTGTTTGCATAGTACAAATTTAGCCATTTTGAATTAAGATATTCAGTCATTGGTATTGATGCATTTTATTTCATAAACATGCAAATTTCACTTTTGAACAAGGACTTGGGCCCATTTCATTTGAAATCAAGTTATTGGCAGGTCTCACTTCAACTAACAAATGCTTACTTTTCACACTAGAAATGTACTTAGAACTCTCTATATTCTAATAATGTTTCCTTATGAAGCAATTCCTTTTCGAATAAATATACATTATGATGTTGTCGAAAGGATTTCAGTATGTGGTGGATCAATCTTGGCCCAAATCCAAAGGAGCTGATTTAATTAAAGAACCAAAAGAACCTCAATTAACAGTGGTATCAAGTATAAAGTAATCACCTTGTAAAGACTCACTCGCCAAGAGAATACTAAACACTATACCTATGGCTAATAAATTAATTACCTTCTGGTAATGTCTGGCCATATTTTTCAGTATAAAATGATTATAGATTACAGTAAGGCAAGTGTCCTCTAAAGTTGAGTATATTTAATTCCCAATGTTATAGAATTTAAAATGATACAAATACTACATGTCTTTAAAATTTCAGTCTTTCTTTTGAGTTCAAAAATTTAAAAGAGTAGGCTACCACAAATATATTTTTAAAAGTTCACTCTATTCAACAAATTATATAGATCTAGTACTTTTGGTGAGTCCTCTTAAAATTTTTTCTGGCTTTACCAATCTGAGAGTCACTTTTTATCAATATATGGTATCTTCTCTTGCAAAAATGGATTTTTAAAAGGTTTCCAAAGTCACCTTGATAATCATAGTGCTCACTCACCTGACACTTACTGCTAAAAGGTTGGTATGCATCTTTTATACCTGGGTAAGGTTCAACTTTTAGCTATCAGAGAAAAGTGTCCCTATACTTGACAAAAGGGAAAAGATAAAAAAGAGAAAGAGAAGGGAGTGGTAAGAAAGACATTTTTTATTTCTTATCTTATGATACATTCTGCAGCAGTAAACACCACTATCTCTCAAAGTAGACCCTCTGAAGGCAGTGGGGGGAAAACAATCAAAGAGAAAGCTTTAAACTAGAGACTGTCTTCCTGTTCTATGTGGCTTTGACCTTTTTGAAAGTCTGCATGGCCTCTTCTCCTTGTATTAAATAAAACAAGAGTTGTGGCCGGGCCGGTGGCTCACGCCTATAATCCCAGTACTTTGGGAGGCCGAGGTGGGTGGATCACGAGGTCAAGAGATAGAGACCATCCTGGTCAACAAGGTGAAACCCTGTCTCTACTAAAAATACAAAAATTAGCTGGGCGTGGTGGTGGGCGCCTGTAGTCCCAGCTACTCACTCGGGAGGCTGAGGCAGGAGAATTGCTTGAACCCAGGAGGCAGAGGTTGAGGTGAGCTGAGATCGCGCCATTGCACTCCAGCCTGGGTAACAAGAGCGAAACTCTGTCTCAAAAAACAAACAAACAAAAAAACAAGAGTATAAGGACTGACAATTTGATGTGGTGAGTTAGTTATGGAAGCAGCTCTGGCATGTGTTATTTCCATTTTTTATCCATTACCTCTGTTCTGTTAACGGCAGCAGACACTTGATTACTGAGATTTGGACATGATGGGAATCCAAGGTGGACTGTGAAGTACATCATGCAGCTAAATCTCCATTACATCTTCACTTCACTTGTTCCTCTGTTTCCAGATTTCTGGCAGACTAGCATCTAAAGGCCTTCACGTTAGAAGAAGGAGGAGGTCTAATTGTTTCAAGAATTATTGGAGAAAAAACACATTTTAACAGCCTGTCAATAAAACTACTGAATGGAAGGGTGGTTCATCATTTTTGGGAAGGATTAAAAGCAAATCTCCCATTCCCCAACAAAAACAAACATTAGTACGAAATCTAAATGGGTAGGTTAAGAGAATTATAAAATTTTTAAATATTTATAAAATTATTAATTTATGCACAACCATAGCAGAGACTGGGGACCACCCTATATATATTCAGAGAGTTGTAAGCAAAAATTCGAAGCAAAAAGGCAAAAATCCAAATGTCTTATTAATAATCAGTATAACATCCAACAATAAGATAACCATCATTTACTGTAGGGGTTAACATGTACAGTAAGCCAAAATCCTAGCAAACATTAATATAAAATACAATTATATATTTCCTAGCTGATTTGTTTATATATCCAGGTCATAAAAACAGAAAGGCAAACTTTTTCTATATCCTTATACAAAATCAGATGTTACAGCCAAAAGTAATTGTAAAATGATTGTGAAACCCCAACGAATAAAGGAATTTCTGAAAGCCTAAAATGAGAAGGTATGGAACTCATACTTTAGTCTTCTCATTCTCACTTCAGTGCTTTTTTTCCTAATAAAATTAAAAAGCAAAAAAACTGAAAATATTAAGCTTCTACACTTAATGTGTCAGTATACACAAGAAAGCAAAATCATTTCTGTAAAATCAAAAATAGAAAATGAAAAAAATGTTTGTTATAAAACTTAAGCAATCAGTCAACCAAATTACAAAAAAAAAAAAAAATTAAGTAATGGACCAAACCTCATAACCTGAAAAGAACCAAGAAAAGACATTCCCGTTATACTTGTACTTCTAAAAAGGGCTTAGAGAAGGTCTAAAGTAGAACTTTGTTGCAATCCAGAAAGTTAAAGGACTAAATAACTGGAGAAATAGAGTTAAGAATTAGATTTATTAGACAGCACAGTCCATCCTGAGATGGCAAAATAGACATGGCTTTATTTACTGATTGAGAAGTGGTCCAGTCATGGGCTAGCATTCATTTACATACCAGTGACCAAATGCAAACATACACATATTGATAGGGCTTTGGTCCATGACATACCCTTTTCACAGCTCAAAGCTGAAACATCAACTCTATTTGGGGTTACTTGCTTATACAAAGATGTCACTCTAGCAACTGCTGATTGACGGCAAGACCAGATGGTTGTCACTAGTAGGAAGAAAGCAGAAGTGATTCAGCTTACACTGCACACTCCCTACTCTTCTGAATTAAATGAAAAAGTTGTTCAAACACAATACTTGTTATTATAATTTAAAGTGTATAAAGTTCAAAATAAAACAAACATAAAGATGCCAAGGCTAAGTACAGATTAAAAAGTGTGATAGGTAAGAAAGCCATTTTGAAAAAAGCCACTATCAGCCAGAGCTACTTATTCCATCCTATAATCTCATAAAGCAAAGCTTTTAACTGCCTAGACTCATATGTGACTGTATTCTTTCCAACATGCATTCTTTCTTCTTCCAGGGGTTGCTCAATAACAGCAGGTATGTTTCTGCCATGAAGTTCACAGTGTTCTAGAAACTGGACACATTCTTGAATAACATTGTCATGAATGACTATCATGTGTTTTGACATGTTTTCTAACAGGGACAGGAAGCATCTTTTGGCATAATACCAGGTATCTGTTCCCAGCTTTTTATTATAAGGCTCCAAACTTTTGATAACTCGAGAAATACCAAACTCATAGTTTCCTTTGGCGCAATAAAGAGTTCCTATCACCAAATTCACAATGCAGAGATGGTACATTTTCTTATCTGGGCCATCATAAGAGAGCTGCTCTTCCTCCTTTTCAATCTTCCTCATCAACTCTTCTGCTTCTTCATTTTGACTTGTCATAATATAGGAAACACAGAGATTAGCCAGTACAATAGCACTGACACTCAGGATGTTATCATAATGCTTCTTAACTATGGGTTCATAGAAACCAATGGCTTCTCTGTATTTGTTTTCCTGCATGAACAGAACGTGAGCCACATTCAGCTTCCACACATCATGGTTGTTACAAAATTCCGCAGATTTGCGGAAGATCTTCTCCAACATTGCATAATTTTCAAGGTTCCAGTAGATTTTTGCCTGAGCCATCAACACAGGAATATACTTCTCCAGGGTTTCATCATATTCATTCACTGCCTTTTTGATAGCTTCATCATCTCTATTGTGTCTTGCTTCCTGTACTTGCATGGTGAGTTTCCGGAGGACCTCAGTCAACATCCCTGCTAGCCCATCAAGCTTAACGAAAGCCTCTTCAGGAGCTGTCTGGCAAGTGATCATGGCATCCAAGAAGTCATAGAGATAGGGTGTGAGGAACTTATAAGTCAAATGGGCATTTTCTGCCAGGACATCTGCTGCAAGGTCAAAATACTCATATTTACAGTAGAGCAGCAACAGGTTGCCAAAAGTCTCTGGAGGAAAGGGATTCTGTTGGAGCAAAAACTGTAGCTTTTCAAACCCTTCTGTAGGTCTGGTATCCATGTTCATTAGTGCCTGGTTGTGCAGAGTCACAGCATCCAACTCTTCCTCTGCCCTGGGTGGCATGTCAGTGAGGGCTTCTTGAGCTGCCTCATAGTTTCCCAATTGGTATTCTATGGCTGCCTTAAGGTTGAAAGCTTCCACCAAAGCAGTCTGGTGGAGGACTAAGGTGTTGCCAACACTGCGAACATCAATGCCCTCAGTGGTCTTGCCCACACCTAGCTCAGGGTGCTGGCGGTTGCCATGCTCAATAATCACAGTGATAAGCTTCAGCGCTGAGGCATACTGCCGGCTGCTGTAATAGGCCAAAGCCAGGTTGTAGGAAAGGTCAGGTTTGTAGCCTGAGGCCTGCAGGGCTGCAAAAAACTTGGAGCATGCAGCTTCATACTGTCCTTCCTTGTAGAGCAAACAACCCAGGTTGACCTGGCCATCAGTCTCATTCTCGATCCCACTATCTTCTCCCTCTTCCCCACTCAGCAGCTGCTCCACCAGGCTCCTGGACCCTGGCAGATCGCCCTCACTGTATTTGATGGCAGCTTGCAGGCGGAGGACCCGGCTGTGGTAGGTGGGGTCATCCAGGAGAAGCAAGGCCACCTGGGTGGCCTCCGGATAAAGGCAGGCCTTGTACAGGGCCTGGGCCTGGTACAGGCGGTACTGCTTTAGTTCCGGGTGCAGCTGGCCCAGCTGCTCATAGCACTCGGCGGCCAGCCTGAACTCCTGCAGGCGGTAGAAGCAGTAGCCCAGCAACGACAGGCCGGCGCGGCAAGGGCTCCGCTGCAGCTCTCGGCCCAGCAGCTGCACCACCTCGGCATAGCGGGCATCGCGGATGAGCCGGTACACGACTGTGGTGAACTCCCCGTCGGGGATCTGCGCGTCGTTCAGGCCGGCCATAACCGTCACGGCTGTTTTGTCTGTGGTTACCACGGCAACCGGAAACGGAAGACTGCCGGTTACTTTGCCACGGAAGAAATCTACTAGGAATAAAAAGGAACCATTCTCGTTAGTCTCTCCATTTCGGTTTGATTTTCAAAGATCGGGACTGCGGAGTGGCGGCAGTTAGGAGGGGAAAGGCTACTCCTTCGGGCTGTTCAAAGACTGAATCTCAGCGTCGCGGCAAGCACCGTTCCAGTGGCGCAGCTGCGCAGGCGTGGTCGCACTGCATGCTGGGAGGCGTAGTCCCTGTTGTACTGACCTGATCCGCGGCCAGTCGGGACGCAGTCACCTGCCTTTCGTGCGTACGAAGGATGAGGGGAGCTCTCTTCGTCTGTTGTGCCACCGCGGTCTCTTGCGCGGCGGAGGATGGTTTCCGGCTCCGTGTTTCTGGCGATTTTGAGCCTTGTACACGGTGTGGTCTATATTAATGCTGGGGTTTGGCTTAGTTTTAATAATGTAGAGATTTACCAGTACAATAAAAGGACCTTTTAATAAAGGGACCGGATTTGCAAAAGGGAGTTAACTCCTTGAATTCCCTTGGAATTAGAGCAGTTTCTTATTATGCTACCCCAAGGGCACAGTTTTTAAGAACAGAATAGAGCAGCATATGGTTGATAACGGTATCAGCCATATCATATAGCACTCTGTTATAGACTGTTTACATATAGTAGTTCTAATTTGAATAAGCAGCCTGCATTCTGCATATTGAAGATGAGGAAGTCTGCGAGCTAGAAAGGTTTAAAGATTTAAGTATTACATTATTAATTAAACTATTTAAATTAATAGTTTGCTTAAGGCCACACCTAGGTAGGTAGGGGCTGAGCCACGATATCCAATAACCAATTTCAGTAAGAAAGTGAATGTTGAATAACCGGATTCATGTATCTCATGTACATGAGTTTGTAAGGGCCCATTGTTTGGTGCTAAGTGTCTATGAGGAATATTATTGTCTCTGTTTCTCCATTAAAACAATGAACTACCTTTGTGTAGGTAGTAGACTTTGAACTTCTATGCCTTGATTCCTGCTGTGAGCAGATGTGACTAGTGGAATTGTGTAGCTTGTATTTACTTGGTATCACTGGGAGGAGATTTTTATTAGGTGTGTGATTGCTCATATCATCAAATGGGTGACTTTATTTATTCAGTCTTCTCCCTTACTAGGAATTGGCAGAGCTGTGTCTTCTTGGCTGTGACTCGACAAGGTCAATTCCAAGAAAGGGAAACTGCACCCATTTCAGAAGGATTGAATGGGGCTTTGCTCACCCAAGACCCCACAGAAAGCAACTATGGAATACTACTATAGCTCTATTCTAAGGCTTCTTTCAATCTCATCTATTGGTGCACCCTTTTAGAGTCTTAAACCCAAGGAGGCACATGGGTAAAGGATACTGCTCAGTAATAAATTGGGGGAGGGAATGCATTGTTTTATTTATAGCTGGCTGCCTGATGGTTCTCCCTTGGGAATGTAGGCTCAGTATTTTATTTATTTATTTATAGACAGGGCTTTGTTCTGTTCAGGCTGGAGTGCAATGGCATGATCATAGCTCACTGCAGCCTTGAACTCCTGGGCCCAAGTGATTTATTTATTTATTATTTATTTGTTATTAGAGACAGGGCTTTGTTCTGTTGTTCAGGCAATGGCATGATCATGGTTCACTGCAGCCTTGAACTTCTGGGCTTAAGTGATCTTCTTGCTTCAGCCTCCAGAATAGCTGGGACTACAGGTGCACCACCATGCCAAATTAAAAAAAAAAATGTTTTAATAGAGATAGGGTCTCATTCGAACTCCTGGCCTCAAGCAACCCTCCCACTTTCCCTCGCAAAATGCTAGGATTACAGGTATGAGCCACTGTGCCTCACAAGACTCAGTATTTTAAAATTCTTGTGTATGTACTGTTACCTTAGGTAATTTGCTATTAAATTAAAGTAAGATGACAAAGTGGGAATGGAAAATTGCCTTTCATACCTTTAGTCTTTCTCTCTGTTTTGCAGGATTGTATTTACATCACCTTCAAATGGCTTCCTGAAAATGTATGAAAAGTAAAAGAACTATATATTCTCCTCCAAATTTCTGGGATCCCTACCAGGATTCAGTTGGGGTTCTCCTCTTTGTGTGTGTACCTGTTAGCATGGCAGCTGAAATGAGCAGGAGGGAGGCTGTTCTGTGTCTCTTCCTCCTTATTTCATGTGATGCTGCTCCAGAGGCCTGCCTTGAAAAAAGCAGGACATTCGGCTTAGACAGATGGAGGGCAGGGTCATTTTCAAAATGAAATGAGTGCACAAATCACACTGTGAAATTGGCATGACCATCACTGCTGATAGACCGACTTTTTATTTGGTCTCTGATAGGCAGTTGGGGAATAGATTAGTTTTGTTGGGGGTGGTGGTGAGAGAAGGCCCTTTAATGATAGAAATTCTGGAAAGAATTAAATAGGGTGGAATTTTATAAAGTGTCATAAAGCATCGTTTTGTTTGCAATAGGATCTTGAAAACATGGAGCATATATCAAAAGGTGAGTGTATCATACCATTTCAAGCAATAGGAAAGCATTTGGTGGTTGTAATAAAGTGATTTGGTGACTTGTAGAAAGGAATTGTAGTTTGATGAAATTTGAGTTGGACTCAGTGTGGATTTTGCTACGTAAAGGGAGACATGTTTATCATGTAGATGAGTTTCATTTAGGCAAAATATATAGGAGCAAAAAGCATGATGCTTGGTTCTTAGCATGCTTATGTTCTGCCTGCCAAAATGTCATGATCAAATCCCATATTCTATTTGTGTATGTAATCTCTTTGGCATTCTCTTTTAAAACTAGTTGTAAGGTATGTCTTATTTATACTGTATCTTTCTGTTGGTAAACATAGTTAATTTCTGAGTATTTCAACCACAGCTGTGGTCAGACATCTTCCTTGATAAGGGAGGACCTTCTGCAAATCGACTTTCCAGTTATTATTTCATTTTCGTTTTGGTTTCAGACCATTTTCTTCAGGGTGGACAGTTTGGGAAGTTCAGTTATCTTGCGTCCCCATTCCCTCACTCCAGTCTTCTACCATGAACAGAGAAGAAAAGAATAAATTAGTGCCGAATTGGAAATATAGTTGACTGATTTTTAGGAGCATCTGTTCAATCTTTTAAGACTTTTGGAAAGAGTGTATGCTAAAATCAACACTTGAGAACATTTGTGCTCAGATGGTGTGACATTTAACCTCGTTATGAACTCTTTGCTGGTAGTTCCAGCTTTATTAATACTTTAATTAGATTTTCTTCTTGAATATCCCTTGCTTTTGACCAAGTAGCTTGTGTTTTGGGGTATAGAGTATTATTGTCTAAATTAACTTCCCAGGGAGAACACAATAGCATTTTGGTTTATAAAAGGGATTAATAGAGAAGGCAAAACTGTAGATACAGCAGCATTTTTTAAAAAAACAACCATTAAAACAAAGAGCTACTCCAAGCTCTTGTGTTTAGGAAGTACTTTGAGTATCAGGGCTGCCTTGCCTAACTTCCCTCATTAATCCTCACCGCCCTTCTGTGAATTAGGTGAGCCTTATTGTTGGTCCCACTTTAAAACTGCAGACTGCAAAGCACAAAGGCCAGTGATTGCTGATTGCGGCAGCCAGCAACAGTGATTGCGTATGCTGGCCAGTAGTGGGCCACACTGCACCTCTTCCCTCTCTCTGGGCACCTCCTCTTCAGTCATTTGAATTGGCTTTGGATCATTTGCTGCAGTTTGTTCTAATAGAACAGGCACAATGGTGTAAGAATTTTAAAGTTTAAGCACCGAAGCCATTGCGTAATTGTATGGCGTCAGTGTGGCTGGCAGTCCTGCATTGATGCGATCCCCCTGTGTAATTGCCTATGCAAATTTGAGCAATCTGTAACGGACACAGGAACCCAGCCTTTGGCTGCAGACTTTCCTACCTCCAGAAAACTTCAATAATTTGAAGAACCTCTTATCATCTTTAGAAAGCTATATGGACACGGCTGTGCTAGTATCCCTCTCACAGTGAAAACATCACAGATCAAGACAAGGTTAATGGAATAAATTAACAGTTAACATTTAAACTGTAGGTATTTGGATGCTCTCTTCCTTCTTCAGCCTTAAAATCACCCTTCTCAAAAGAAATACAGGTTATTTCAGAGCTTTAGTTAAACTCTAAGTATTTTATTAAAAACAAAGATATTTAGGTCTCTTAAAGCAGAATTTAGTTGCTTGTGAAATGGCCAAGTGGTCTATAATGTAATATTCTTTTTTTTTTTTTTTTTGAGACGGAGTTTCGCTCTTGTTTACCCAGGCTAGAGTGCAATGGCGCGATCTCGGCTCACCGCAACCTCCGCCTCCTAGGTTGAGGCAATTCTCCTGCCTCAGCCTCCCGAGTAGCTGGGATTTCAGGCACGCGCCACCATGCCCAGCTAATTTTTTGTATTTTTAGTAGAGACGGGGTTTCACCATGTTGACCAAGATGGTCTCGATCTGTTGACCTCGTGATCCACCTGCCTCAGCCTCCCAAAGGGCTGATATTACAGGCGTGAGCCACCGCGCCCGGCCCTATAATGTAATATTCTTACAATGAAACATCAATCTGGGAAATCTACACAAAGTGAATGATTTCAAACAATTCAACTGAAAACATATTTCCTTTCTTTCATGTAAAACAATAATAATTAGGAAGGAAGTCAGTAGGAGATCCTTTTGAGATTATTGTACATGAAAATAAAAGGGAAAAAGCAATTTCCCCCCAAGGGAATGACACTTAACAAAACTTAGCCTCCTATTTCCAATGCTATTTTTTAAATTTCATCTAAATATGATTTAATCTAAACTAGAGCAAAAGAAAAACTGGGATTCTAATACACATGCAGATACACACAGAAAATGAACACAGATATAAATGGTGGCCACAAATAGTATATTTTTCACAGCAAATTCTTCATTTAATAAAAAAACATTTTTGTACTAGTGTATACATTAAATGATATTGGTGTAGTTATGTTATATGGATAAACAATCTTTAGCAGTGCTGAGAGACGTACCAAACATGCAAGAACATTCAAAATTAAATTTAAAAAGATATACAACCCCGAATTAATAGCTGAAGACAGGGTCATGACAAACAGTGTAAGTGACATTGGGCACTGCTAAATCTAAATGCTCATCATGAAATTCTCCAGATACACCTCATTTTATTTCTGCCTTCTGTATGTTTTATTCTGCTATTCTTCACTTAGGAAGCTGGTGCAATTTTGGCCTTCTTGTAGTCAGACTTAACCTTTACATTTCCTGATACATTTGAGTTTTGGGAGTTAGCTACAGCATGTAGCAGAATAACAATTTCAGAGACGTTACTCTGAAGCAGATAATGAAAACTTCATTACCGTGGCATTGCCAGAGTTTTTAGGGTCCCAAATTAGGTTTTGTTCTGTTGCTTTAATGAATCCTTTTTGTGTTTTTGTGGGTTTTTTTTCCAGTCAAAGCATTTTTCTTTATACTTAAATCTTTCCCTAATATGTTTAGATTTCTGTCCCACTGGAAGGAAATTGTTTCACACTATTAATAGAGATGAAACTGGTTTTTGTCTTTCTGCAATTTCTAAGAGTCAGCAGGAAAAACAGATTTTACAATAATTTTACTGTGGAATAAATTGGGCAGATTCTGTTTAATCACCTTGTGTAAGTGGATAAAGTATGATAAATTTTGATACACAGAAAAAGCAACTGAATTCTGGTAGCATTAATATTAGATAATATTGTTATTACACTAACACAAAATGTTAAAGATGATTTCTAACCCAATGTATTTGCAAATATAAAATACCTGGAAGTGCATAGACATGTCAGATTTTAGAAACAAAATGCATGTGCAGTTTTTAACTTCTCTTGGCTTACTTTATAAATTCACTTCTAAATTAAGGACTACCATTTATGGGATATATCAGATAATCTAATTTTTTTAATGAAACAAAGGACATATAGGCTGGGTGTGGTGGCTTGCATCTCTAACCCTAACACTTTGGGAAGCCGAGGCAGGAGGATTGCTTGCGCCCAGGAGTTCGAGATCAGTGTGGTCAGCATAGGGAGGCCTCGTCTTTACAAATAATACAAAATTTAGCTGGGTGTGGTGGTGCACACCTGTGGTCCCAGCTACTCATGAGGCTGAGGCAGGAAGGATCACTTAAATTGGAGAGGTCAATGCTTCAGTGGCAGTGATTGTGCCAGCCTAGGGGACAGAGCAAGACCCTGTCTCAAAAAAGGATATATTAAAAAAAAAAAAACTGTATTGGTGACTATAGCTTTCATCATAATTAGAGGCAGGCTCAAGAGACATCTGTAGTATGATTGTGTTTACATCGATTCCATATATGTAACTTCTTATAAGTGTCTTTATTAAGAGGATGACGGTTTTAGGTTTGTTCCTATTTTATTTGAGAAGAATAAACAAGAAAATTATCTGGAAAATTTCTTTAAAGCTAAACACATCTTGGTCCCTTGGTGTGGGAATGGAATAAAAGTCAGTGCTTTTATTTAATAGATGGAGAATCTAAGACTTGGATTACAGGTTCAGCTGGTGACCAAGCTAGGATGGAGTTCCAGTCTGCTGTGTACTGAATGGCACTCTTTGCAGTATGTGAAGCTGTCCCTACCCACCAGGATTGCTGCTACATTATTGATTGTGCACATATTAGCTACACACTGACTAGCAAGAATAAATATCATGTCTGAAAAAAACATATCTCATAGAAAAAGTGGGATGAAGTTTTTTCAACCATTAATGCCAGGAGACCCAAGGAAGCAAACATAATCTGTCTCTAACCCTGTGGTTTTCTTGGTTGCTGCCACCTACTCTGGAATTTCATAGGTTCCAGTTTTCTCATGCTTGAATGATACAGAACCCCCTTTACCAGCAGTAGGTCAGACAGCAAGATATAGAGCCCCCTTTAAAGGAAAAAGAAGCAAACAACGGAAGGGCCCTTCTTTATGGTGTTTTAATTAATTGTATTTCATTTTTTTCAAATTGCTCTAGCTAAAAATAAATGCAAAAGTAGAAATATGTTTGGGAAAAACACAATGCAGAGATTGGTATTATCTCATATAAAAAAGTCATTGCAGTCCCAGCGCAGTGGCTCACACCTATAATCCCAGCACTTTGGAAGGTCAGAGTGGGAGGATCACTTGAGCCCAGCAGTTCCTGACCATCCTGGGCAACATAGCAAGACCTCATCTCTACAAATAATAAAAAATTAGCTGGGCGTGGTGGGGTGTGCCTGTGGCCCTAGCTACTTGGGAGTCTGAGGTGGGAGGATTACTTGAGCCTAGATCATTGAGACTGCAGTGAGCCATGATCACCCCACTACACTCCAGCCTAGGTGGCAGAGCAAGACCCCATCTCAAAACAAAAAAACACAAAACTCATTGCAATAAAAATTGCTTTTGAAAAAATTTAAGAAGTGGGAAAATAGTTAACATTATTTTTAGGGTTTTGTTTGTTTCTTAGGTTTTCATTGCTCAGTCCCGATCATCTGGAAGTCACCAAGATGTTGAAGACGAAGAACTTACAAGAATATTTGTTATGATACCGAAGTCCTACACAGAAGAAGATCTATGGGAAAAATTTAAGGTACTTATGTTTTCTAACCAGTTAGCATATGTGATAACTCACAGTCCTACATAGGTTGTGTGGGTACTAAATCCGAAGTGTTGTTTGAATAAGGTCAGTAGAGTAGTCATGGGGAATTATGTAACTGTTTTCATAATTTTCAATCTACTCTTTAAATATTAAACCTAGCATAAATTAGTTTTTAAAATTACAGATTATATAAAATCTGAAAAGTAGTAATTGTAGTCTTCCCCTGCTTTATTGTGACAGTAGAGAGTCACAGAAATGAAGTACAAAGCTCAGAGACTTTTAAGTAAAGTCAGCTAGTAGGTGGTAGAGCTGTGATTTTACACCCAGACTCTCGGAGTCTGGAGCCTGTTCTTGGTCTTTAAAATTTCAAAGCACTCTCTTATCACTCCCCTCTATTGCCTGGCATGTGGAGGTGAATCAGGCAGGCCTGAGTGTGTGAACTGTGTTGTCTAGTATTTGTAACAGGCCTATGGTGTGTTGATATGGTACTACTCATTCACAGAAAGTCTTGTTCTTTGAAGAATTTTCATCCTAAAATTGGGCCTTTGAAGGAGTTACATATAAAGAAGAAAACTAAGTACAGCTCTGACCTATATAAATGAAATTCAAAGATCATTTTAAGTCTTTTTAGCCATTAACTTATGCGATGATAAGCTTTCACAAGAATTATTAAAAAGCAATTTTTAAATTGTTTTGAATTGTAGTTTTTCATCTTTTTCTACTAGTCCTTCCATGAATTGGGTGGCAAAAAGCAAGAAAGAAAATAAGCAGTAAAAAGTAATTTTTGAACTTCCTCTCCTACCCCAATTGAGAATTCAAAAAAATACTTCAAAAATAACAAATACCAAAAATGCGTATTCATGCTTTCTCCAGTAATAAGAAAAATGTTTTTTACCTTAAATATTTATAAATTTTTATCTTCTCCTGAATGAACAAGTATGACACTTTAATGTATAGTAAATTAAGTTGCTAATTAATTACTTAAGAATTTGTAAAATAAATATTA